TGTGGAGAACCAAATCATTTTTTAGGAACACTCCACACACATGAAGAGTATCCTATAATAGATTGTTAATCATATTTTTCATACTTTTTGTTGACATAAAGAGCTGAAAATTTTATCACATGTATATCTAATCAAGATCTTTTATTTCTGAAATTTTCAGCTCTTTAGCTAAAACTAACGGTGAAGTACATCGACAAGACTGAAATACATGAAGTTTCGTACTTGATTTTTGCATATTTTTACTGTTAAATTATTGGAAAAATCGAGTGCAAACTTTATGTATTTCACCATTAGTTTTAGCTAGAGAGCTGAAAATTTCAGAAACGAAAGATCTTGATTAGATATACATGTGATAAAATTTTCAGCTCTCTATACCAACAAAAAGTATGAAAAATATGATTAACACTTTATCATCTGTTATTATGGATTGCCCTTTATCGGTGTGGAGTGTTCCTAAAAAATGATTTGGTTCTCCACACTTTATATGTCCGAAAAGGTTTTAATTGTAGCCTCAGACCGTTTTCGACTATGATACATCTAACTAGACTATTAAAAATGAAAAGAAACCTTTCTTTCAAAACATTGACACAGAATACCCTTCTTCCACAAAGTGGTAGAAACCCTACGGATTCACCCAATATTAAAAAGCATCAATGTATGATATCGAAAAAGCATTTAATAGAGCAAACAATTTTGTTAAACAATTTTAGACGAAATAGAAAGAAACAATATTAACATATCACCATCACTTACGATACATTTATATCTCTAACGATTTGAGATTGAATAAAAATAAATAATACGAATAGAAAGACAAAAACAAAAACAAGAATAAATAATTACCTCCAGTTGCAACTAAAACTTTATTTATAGTATGGCCATAAAAAGGAAAGCCAAATTTTAAACCAATACTCTAAAAAATTTAATTTTCTTTCTTGAAAATAATAATAAATATTTTCATACAAATGCTGATCGATGTCGATTCGAAAGTTGATGAATATGAAAAAATTGATTATTATCTTGCACGAAATTTATTGGTATTCCTCCAGATTTTGGAATAATATATGAAACATTATAATATTGATGATCATTCTAGAAAGAAAGAAAAAATGAAAGATAGTTTGAAAAACAAAACTGTTAGTACAATTCTTGCAGAATTAAGATGTGAAATACAACATAACTACTGTTGCTAATCATAATGAGATTATTTTATTCTATCTATTTTAGAAAACATTTCTTCATCATCATTTTTCTTAATCTTCTACAAATGCAATAAGAACATAGTTCGTATATTATAACTAAATGTTATTCACCAGTAACATTAATTTTTCTTTACTTCATTTCATCTTAAAGAAATAATTGATAATTATGTTCAATGTATGTGTAATCGTTTTACTCCTATTTTGATGCTGATTTATAATAGTTCAGTCAATCAAAAGTAATAATGACGTTTATGAATGATTATTAGTTGTTCTACAATATGAAGATCGATTCGTTTTTTTTTTATGATTACTGACTCAAATACGCTTCAATTGTCAACTACAAATCATTTGAAAAGTGAAATATATTTGTCTAACTATTATCTTCGTTTTTCTCAATATTTAAAAGGAATCCTAGAACAGGATATATTTCACTGATTAGTAATATTGTTAAGCAACCTTTGTTACGATTTTCAGGAGGCAAGGCATCGAAAATTTTTACTTCTATACACTTCAATATTTCGTTTAGATTTTGTTTTACAACAAAATATTAACTTACGACGTAGACTGTTTGTTCACTAGTATTAAATAGATTTTTATTTGAATTAATAAATTTTAAATCATTATCTTCATCAAAATAGGCAATTTGTGATGATACTTTTGTTGAAGGTGTTGCTAATAGATTTTCATTATTTGATAAATATACACGATTTTTAAATTCATCTCGACTTGGTACATTAATTACATCGATATTTTCATTTTTTAAAGCTAAAATTTATTATTATATTATAATTTTTTTCTTTTTTTGATGAAATAAAAAAAAAAAAAAAAGAACGAATGAATTACTTGAACATGTATAATTTTCAAGAAATGCTTCAACTTGATTAATTTTTAATGGACATCGATTTTGAACTTCATCTTTTATTTCATTCATAAAATTTAATATATTACTAAAAAAAGAAAAAATTGATCTAATATTAATAAAAGAGAATATTATCAAAGATAAATTTTCATTCGAATCTAAACTCAATAATTGACAAAAATAGAAATTTTATTCATAGTTTCAAGAATTATTTTTCGAAATAGTGTAATATAAACAAAAACATCAAGAGTAATGAGGAAGTAGAAAATTCTCTTTTCGACTATTTTTATATTCTATGAAACTGCTTGGAACTTCATATTTTTGCTCATAATTCTTTGACAAATATTTTATGACAAGACTTTCGTTGAATTGCCACTAAGATTATAACTTTCATCATTTGAATGAACTATTTCAAAACATGCTGTGCTTCACTGCTTTTTTTATAGGAACATTATACTAACATCTGCGGTTTTTATCAATCAAAAGAAAAGTCTTGGTACCATCGAAGTTTGATCTATTAAGTGAGTTCTTGGTGGAAATTTTCGAAAACGTTGTTCTGAAACTTTTTCTCTTTTGATCTACGTAAATTCGACATTCCTAGTTTGTTACCTTTGATAGTTATAAGACTTTTTCTGAGACTTCGATGTCAGCCAATCAATCTGTGATTATTTGAAAAAGGGGTTGGGCTACAATAACTCATCAACCTCAGTCAAATGGTGATATTTGCTTTTAGACAGAATTAATCTGACATTATGATCTTAATATTTCTGAAACTCCATAATCTGCCTCTCTATACTGAAAAAGCCGATATTTTTATAATATTAAGATAACAGTGTCAGACCAATTCAAACCTAAAAATAAATATTACCACGTGACTTCGTATGATGAATTACGCCTGTACAATTGCTTTCACGGATGATCAATTAGTTGAAATCGTGAATATCAGAAAAAGCCTTGTAACTCTCGAACAGAACATGCTAGAAATGTTGGCCTTGCATAAATCGAAAGAAAAGAATTTTTCTTTTCAATTGGACATATTTTAAGTCTAAACCAAAAGTGGAATAGCTTCAAAATGTCGTTTTCAAAAATCTCCATAAAGAACTCACCTAGTCGATGAATTACTAGCCAATCAAATTTCGTTGGTATCGAGTCTTCTCTCTTGAATGCTTCAAAAACCGCAGATCGCTATAATGCTTCGATCAAAATGTAATCAAATAGTAGTACAACACATTATATGTCTAGTTTGTTTTTTAGATGTTTAAAATAATAACAATTTTTTATCACAGCGAAAAGTGAATAGTTAATATCAAACTTTTAGAATTTCTACTTCTGCTTCCTTTGATCATAAAAACAATTCAATAAGTTTTTTCGTTTTTTGTCAACATGAGTTTTGAAAATTAATAAAGAAACTGTTTTTTTTTTTGTTCGAACAAAACTAACTTGCAATACTCATCATCTTTGTTTTTACTCAATTGTGTAGATAATATTTGAAAAATCATAACTCGTTTTGCATGTGGACATAATTGATTTATATCATCAGTATAACAATAGTTAAGACCAAGTAAACGAATTAAATTAAGAATTAAACTTCCAAAATTTTTTACTGTTACTGGACAAGAAATAGAATCAAGACAAGTTGAAAATGTTCTAAAATATTAAAAATAATCAATAAAATAAAATAAAAATCTATAAGTATTTTTTATTTTATTTTACCTGCATTCTTCTAAATTTAAACAATTAGAAAGTTTTATATTAACATCATGTTCACATGATATTTGATTATTTGCAATATCTGGAAGTATCAACGATGATGATTGATCACGTTTTATCCTATTATTTTCTGATATAATTGTATAAGATGTTTGATAATTATGTGATGGATCATTTATTAATAAAATATCTTGTTTAATTCCATAAGATTTATTTAATAAAAATATTAAATAAATAAATAATTTAATGAAATAGATCATTTTATTTATCTAAAAATCAAATTCGTATGTTACACATATACGAATGTAGATAGATACATATATATTTAGATCTAATCTTTTGTGTACATGCACAAAGAATAAAATGCTTAAGACAATAGTGTGTATGTTTTGTTTTTTTTTTCTTCAATGTAAAAGAGAAAGAAAAAAAGACAACATAGATATGTGAGGTCACCTGTATACATTTTCTGACTGATTCAACGAAGGTAAATCGAATGTCTCATTGATTATGCACGTCACGTTCGTTATTCGTTTTCTCTTCCTCTTCTTCTTAACGGCAAACGATTAATTGATCATTATCATGAGAAAAAGAGAAAAAAAAAAAAACTAATCCCTCAGACTGTATTCTCTTTGCTTCATTTTTGTTTTTTTTTCTCCTTACTAACAGTCGTGTAAACATGTCCTCGAATGGCAATAGTGCATCTCAATCTACTGATGATCGTTTAAAACAAGCCTATGAAATATTATCACAACGAAATCATAATCGTCCATTAAGTCTTAAAGACGTTGGAACTGTTATGCGTGCAGCTGGTTATAGTCCAACAAATAATGATCTTAAAAAAATAATTGAAACAAAAATGGGTGCGGTTTATTCACATCAATTATTTGATTTAAAAACTATTGAAGATTTATGTAATGGTTTAAAAAAACGTTCAGAAAAAGAAGTTCATGATAGTTTACGTTGTTTTGATTATGAACGTAATGGTTTTATATCAGCACAAGAATTAAAATATTTTTTAACAACACGTGGTGAAAAATTAAGTGAAGAAGAAATTGATGAATTATTACGTGATATGGATATTGATCAACAAGGAATGTTATCTATTGAACAAGCATTAGCATTATTTTTTGTTGGTGATTATACAGAATAAATATTTATTATCTGAAAAAAAAAAAAAGAAAACAAAATACAAGAATTTCCGTTTGATTTTTCTCTTTCTGTCTGTCTTTTTAAAATGCTGCTAATTCTTTTCGTTTTTTTTTTCTTATTCCATCATCAAGTGTTAATAATGTAAGAAATGAAAAGAATAAACTAAATGATGATAATATATGCCATATATCATGTACATCATATGTATTTAATATAATACATGGACGATTACGCATACGTGATATTGCTGGTTGAACTTCATAACTTTTAACTTGTTGATAAAAAAAATATAATGATGATGACCAAGATAATATAGCTGATAGAAGAAATAGAATTGAAAATCTTGTAAAATGTTCACGATGAATAGTTTTCATTAAAATATAATATGTTAAATAAATAGCTAAATTACCGAGAAATACAAATAATAAATGATTTGGAAATGATTCTGGTTGAATAATTGCACCGTAAAGAGCAAATGCTATATTTATACAATTAGCTGGTATAAGTATCATCATACGATTTAAATAACGTGGACGAGAAAAAAAACCATTTTCTTTTACAAGACGATATAAATGGATCTAAACAGAAATAAAAATCATATTGATTAAACGAACGAAGAAAAAATTGATTCGGGTCATTCAGATTAAGAATTTTGGCGCATGGATTCTTCAATTTCAAGCAGATTTTCATCCGAAAGACTTCATTTCCAATCGCAGAATTTCTTAACCTTGATTTACTACGGCGATGCCAGGCTAAAATCTGATTGGCTAGAAAAAAGTTTTTTTCAACCAATCAGATTTTAGCAGAGAATTTCTCGCGGGTATTGTAAGAATAAAACATAGTGTTGTCTTGGTTGATCAGGATGGTTAACAACAGCTTTCTTTCATATCGTACAAACAATATTATATGTTCTCCTTACAATAATAGAGAAAAACATTGCTGAAATCTGAATGCCTGAAGAAATAAGCAGAAATACAGATTCTTCGATGCCAATAAGCTTTGATTAAACTCTATAAACTATCATCATGGGCGGCGCGACCGGGAGGGGATAGGGAGGTCACCCCCTCCTGCTCCAGAAAATGTTGGCTGGTACTTTCTCCGATTTTGGAGAAATATACTGGATAATTTTCTCGAAATTCAGAGAAAATTCAAGTTTGAAAAACATTTTTGGGCGATTTTCGAGAAATTTGTATAATATATTTCTCGAAACTTGTGGAAAAGCGCCCAAAAATGTTCTCCAAACTTGAATTTTCTGTGAATTTATACAATAGTGTTGAATATATTTCTATGAATCCAGAAAAATCCAATTTTGGAGAAATATATTACAAAATTCTGATTCGGAGAAAATTTCAGTTTAGAGAACACTTTTTGACTTTCTCCGATTTTAGGACTGACTCCCCACCTGCTCCAACCTCTTCGCGCTGCCCTGGTAATGTCAACTGAAGTAGAAAATGTATTTCATTCATGTATTGTTTACTTCATTAAAAAAAATCACTTTCATATTTCAAACATGTGACTTGTGAAAAAAAAACCTTACTTTAAAATCAGTTCTTGAAAAAGAACGACAGACAGGTAAAAATTTTGCATATAAAAAAGCCAATTGCTATTGAAAAAACAGGAGCTACAGTAGAATTCATTGCTCTCTTTTTTTTTCTCTAAATAGTGGCGCATTAAAATGAGAGTCCATTAAATTTACATAAGCATATATTTTTTTTCTTGTGTGTTGATTTTTGTCAATGTTAACAGTTTGTGATGCCATTGAAAAACTTATTTTCAATGGTGAAAAAGCATACAAAACAAAGGGAATCGTTTTTCTTTATTTAATGTTGCAAGTATAGATAACATAAAATCTATTACAATAAAATGTTTTTATGGTTTCTGCAAGCAGCTCTTATGCATTATAGACTCAAAAACAAAGACTCTTAATTACCCTATAAATGAAATAGTTTGATTTTGTTGATGAGAAAAGTTTTTATAAGCATCATGGCAAGATCTTTTATAAAAATAATCTGTAATTTTCGAGTTACTTTTTTGTTAAAGTATAATCTTTGAGGAAAATTTTTCTTCATCGTACGACTATAGCTTGAAACTGATTTCGTTCATGCAATATCTGCCTTATGAGAGATGTATTAGTTATAGATCTAAATAGAGCTCTCACCAACAGAAAAAACCTAGTTCCGTACACTTTCGTACTTCTCGACAGACATATGCTCCTATATAGTTTTATAAATTTCTTTATTTAAAAAAATAATGAAAGTAGAACTTGCAGTAGAAGAAAAACTAGCAGACATTTTTTTGCTATTATGTGTTTTTTTTTGTACTAAGATATTCGAAGAGAAAAACATCATGTGATTTCTCTTTCTCATAATAGCGAACAGAAAACAAACGTAAAAAGACAACTGGTACTTATTTTAACTATGATGAAAATAAAAGANTTCTTGTCAGTTTTGTAAAATATGATGTAAAAGAATTGTTAGAATATAGGGGTAAATACGTGGACTCTTACGCTTCTACTAGAATCCGTCGGATTCGTTCTGGACTCAGGTTCGAAAGCTTTGGACTCGATCGATCCTTGTCATATATTTTCTCTCTCCCTTGCGATAATCAATGAAATACGAACATCAAACGCATATCAATAACGTCTTGTTATAGAAAATAAACTACTATGCATTTCAAAAGATAATGTGCCCCACTGTTTTTTTCAATAATTTTTTATATGAGCATCATAGAGACCCATGATCAATTTCATTGGACAACAATTGGTCAGTAAGGTAAGTTCTTGATGAAGATTTTAGAAAACGATATTCCCAAACTCTTGTTCTTTCGATTTACGTAAGAGCAGCATTCCTGGCTTGCTCTGTTCGAAACATAGAAAACTTTACTTGAGATCCTCGACTTCAGCAGATCAGTTCGAACCTTAAAACAAATATCACCATTCGAATCATCATGATGAATTACTTCTGCTTAGTTGCTTTTCTGGATGATCTTAGGTCAATTCACCAAAATCAAAGATTTCAGAAAATTTTTTATAGCTTTCGAACGGGACAAGAATGTCGCACTTATATAAACAGAAAGAACAATTGCTTCTGAATATTGTTTTCGAATATCTCCGCCAAGAACTCATTTGATTGGTCAATGGGTGACCAATCAAAATTTCGATGCCTTACAATGATCCCAGGTCTTATCGTTTGAATGGTGAAAACCACAAGTCTTTATGATGTTCCTATGAAAAGATATCGGGAAAATAGTGAAGAATCCTGTATTTTGAAATGGATAGTAGTCCTTTTTTTTTTTTTTTTACAATTCTTGATGTTTTGCACGGCCAGATATGTTGAAGAAATGTGTCTCAAGATGAAAGAGTAAAGCAATAACACATACATCATGTTTCACAATTGAAAATAAGACTTTAACTTGAGAATGTAAATGTAGTTTTTTTCTTCATCAATACACTTAGTCATACAACAAAATTAAAGTAAATAATATTCTTCTACTATCAAATTTTTCTGAATAAATTGTAACATATTCTTTTAACTAAATAATAAAAACTTTTTAGGACTTACCAAATTTCGAACGTATTCGTAATGAACTAAGTCGAACATTAGATAAACTTGCAATGGAACGAATAAATAATCCATATTCAAGCGTTACATCTATACGTTCATCAACTGGTAAATTTGTAAAATTTGAAGAAGATTCTCAACGACAACAACCAACAAGTTCAATAAAAAGACCTTCGACAATACCAACAACAGTTCAACCTAAACCTAAATATGATAATAATTATAAATCAACAAAATTTGCTTCTGATGATGATGAAAAAACAAATACATATGACAGTGATGATGACTATGATCAACCAACTAAATCTGGATTTACTAATGATATTCAACCATCACCTAGAAAAAACGTTCCATCAACCGGTGTAAGTGCATTAGTTTCAGGAAATATAAAACCAGTGACAACAAATAACACAAAAACAATTTCAGCACTTGTTAGACCAAAATCAACAATTAATGAAAATGAAACTGAAAGGTAAATAGATAAAAAAAAAAACAGACATTCTAAAATGCCCAAATCTATTGAATTTGATTATTTTAATAGTGATGAAGAAAGTCAACCAATACCTAACGTAGCAACAAAAACACAAGTTCTTGATAAAAAATTAAATGAAATAAGTTCAAAAGGACAAAAACCAACTATAAATGCTATTGCACAAGGTTTTCAACCATCTCATAAAACACTTTCTACTAAAGTAAGGTTTTGAAAATACAAAATTAAAGTAGAAGTTTTTATGACTTTTTAAAAGAGAATTTTCGTTTCCTCAAAAATTTAACATGAAACACTGAATCTATAGAACTCTCATTTACAAATGAGTTTCATAAATTCAGTTTTTCACATGATATACGAAATAAACAATATCGAAATTTAAAAGAAATTCAAAATTTTCTTCTAAACAAACATTTCAGAAAATTCAAATCGGACATATTCTTGATCAGCTCGTCACACTATCTTGTCTTATATAAAGAAAAACAAACTTCTACTTTAATTTTGTTTTTCCGGCATCGTAAATTAATTAATTAATAAATCTCTCTTTTATTTTAAATTATATAGAATAACAAGGCTGATGATGATGATGATAGTAGTGATAGTTCAATAACTTCCATTCACGATACAAATCCTTACCGAAAACCATCTGTTGGTACTCTTCCACAAAATTCGTATGTCATTCTTTTTTTAATGATTGTAAATTTAAAAAAAAATTTCAATTTCATTAGAGGTCGACAATCACTGACCCATAATCAAAATTTATCATCCGGTGATGTTTCTCAATTTACTTATGATTCGTAAGTAATTATTCTTTGTTTTTCTTATATGAAATATTCTTTGTCTATTAGAATATGGAAATCACCAGCTGGTAAAGGTTAGTTTGTATTAAACCTTTGAAAATCGAATAAAACTAAAAAGATTTTCATTCCATAGGTCCTGATCTTCGGCGACCACCAACAGCTGATTCAGCTAAAACTTCAAATATGGATTCTGATGATGATCTTGAAGGAGAAGATTCGAATTAAAATAATTGTTTTTCTTTTTTATATATCTATTTGTCTGTTTGTATGTGCTGAACAATATCTGGTTAAATTATTTGGGTAGCTTTTGTAGTGCTTTTTTCTTTACAAATATTTTTAATTTATATGCTTAAGATTATTCATGTTTTCCGTTCACAGATGCTTCATTTTTCTTTTATATTGATATAAAGAAGAAATTTAGACAAGAATATAAACCAATCAAATAAGTATTGGCAATTTTCTAGATCATATATAGAATTAGCTGAATGTTTTTCAACCGAACTAGATCAGTCGATTGAAATTCTTGATATAATCAGCATAAGACAAGTGATCTGTTTAATATACATAAGTGATCATCACTATGATGATTCTAGCACTTACAGTATAGATGATACTGATGATTAATGACTTATATTTATATAAATATCTTAAAATTCTTTTCGATTGATCTATTTATATACAAACATATTTGCAATGAAAATATCAAAAAAATCAAGGTTAACGAGAGAACTTCCCGAAGATAGTGAATCATTATCATCAAAATAAATTCAGTGTATGATTTTTAATGACATGTAGAAAAAAAAATCCGATGGTTAATAAATCATCTCACAAAGTTGAAGATGACAAAAAACTTACAGAAGAAAATATTTGTTAACTGATTAGATTTTGAAAAAAAATGATGAGTAACTTTTAATAAAATCTTTATGTCTCTTGAACGCAAATAATTATCGGTTTCTATCTTTCATAGATCGATAGAGGCAAAATTAGACTATTTGCCTATTAAATTATAGTTCGGAAAGTATATTATTTTCAGAAGCGAATGAAGCTTACATTCAGAACTCATGAATGTATGTATTCAATGAGAAAAACGAACAGAATTTTTCATCGATTTTGTAAAAAGATCGAGTAACATCAACTCTAGATAACAAGCAACAAATTTCGAGTTACTTTTCTTTTTATTTTAAAGTTATACGAAAAATGTCCACCGCCATTAATAACTATCGTCTATCGTCTATTTTGGATTTAAGATTTTAAACCTGTTTGAAAAAAAAACAGAATTTTATCGAAGAGACTATTTTACCAAAATTTCGAAATAAATTTTTTAAATTCAATTGTAATTGTCAAGTCTTTTTTGGCTGAGAGAAATGAGAGTATCTTACTTTTGAACAGTTTTGATAATTTCTGGAAAACTATTTCGTTCCTCTTCCATCTTGAAAGCCAAATCCATTTTGTCTTCATTAAGACATTCAAACATGACTAATACCTTGAAATTATTGACATCAAATGGAACATTACAGATATCTTTTACACGTATCTTTAAGAATTCCTAGCAATCATATTTCCATCTCTTTCAATGATTCGCCACCAATGCCGGCGATTAAATTCAATGATCTGTCATAGTAATTACCTCAAAAAGATCTATGACAAGAATCGAAACTAGAAACAATAAATAAACTAACAAATATATCCATGCATATGTATAAAGATTCATGCATACAGCATCTATCTGCCACAAAGATTGTAGAGTTTCGTTTTGAAAACTTGATCAAATCGTTGTGCCAGATATACAGGATTTGATATATCTCTATTTTCGAAGGAGATTATCAAATTCATAAGATGAGAATAGATGGCGTCACGTACTCATGTATTCCTGCAACAGTTAAAACAAAAAGAATTGAAAATGATGTTGTAAAATTGAATCAGTTTAAAACAAAATTTCAAAGATTTCTCCAGTGATTCTTATTAAGTAATTATTCTTGATCATTGTTAGTCGTATCTGAACTGTATACAAGTTATTTATTCAATACATAAATGAATATTAAATTGAATAAATGCTAAAACTACCATTTTTATCTATAGATGTTTTTAAAGAGAAAAAGATTTCAAAACTAAATTGAATTTTACAAAAAAAAAGAGAGTTCTTCTTATCTGATCCGACAAAGAAATTTGTATTTATTGAAAGTTATTTTAATGCATTAAGAAAATCGTATTTTCAAATAGATTTGAAGCTTCAAATCTAAAATAAACAATAATCATCAACTTGTATCATCTTTGTTGTAGGAAAAAAAAAGACAAGTTCTTGATTCTTCATGAAACTTTCTGGAAATCATATTCAATTAGAAATGAGTCTATGTTATCATTGAGATTTTTATCTTGTAAATCAAATATTCTTTATAATAAATTAGCTCTAAATAAATGTACAATGATGTAAACGTATGAGTAAATAAATAAATGGGGGTGGGTGTGAGTGTGCCCTATAGACCTGCGGAACAAACTTTTCTATGTCCCGAATCCCGTTTGTCCCGTACACGGAAAAAAACTAAAGATATGGTTTTGTTCAATGCAGTACGCGTCTTCTATATACACTTAATCGAAACAATTTATTCATATCTATGTTTATGAGAGGTTTT